ACCGTCAAGGGTTACACACACACACGCCTCCCCGAAGGGAGGCATGTGTGGCCTCCATCCTGGCACATGTGCACGCAAAAGGGACAGATGAAAATGAAAGAACGAGACAGACAAAGGTGTGTGTGTGTGTGTGTGGTTGCCGATGAAGAAGAACCAAGTGAAGAGGGACAACCGGTGAACCAAACCTCATTGTAACAAACCTGGGCCACCTGAACCTCGTTGTAAGTAGAGTACGCGTGCGTGTATGTGTGCAAACTAAGGTCCGGACGATAGTACGCGCAAGAGAAAGAAAGGATGAGGATGAAGAGACATGAAGACAGAAAGACATGAAAGAAAGGAGGAAAAACGTCTGTGGGGGCCGATGAAAGGGGAACCAAATGAACGGGGACAAACCGATGACAGTCCAAACCTCATTAAAAGAACCTGTTGCAGAAGCCTAGTTTGCTTGTAAACACACCGCGCGCGAGGACAGAGGGGGGGAAGGGGGAGGAAGAAAAGAGAGGGAAAGAAAGAAGGAAACAAAGGTGCTCCCAGCTACGACACAAGCGTCCAAGGACACACCAAAAAGGAAGGGCTCCCAGCTATGACGAAAGCGTCCAGGGACACCCAAAGAAGAAGGTGAAGAGAGGAAAGAGAGAAGGAAAGAAAGAGAAAGGGAGAGAAAGGGAGAGGAGAGAAAGGAAGGTGTTCCCAGCTACGAACAATCGTCCAGGGACACACCATAGAAAGAGAGGGCTGATCCTGAGTATTCCATTCACGAAAACACCAGAAAGCAAAGAAAGAAAGGGGAGGGAAGGGGGAGGAGGGGGGGCTAAGCTCTCGACAGGTTCCAGTGAACCTTGAAGAAGCTTTGGTCGCTGCGACCACGTACGGCTTGCCCGAAGGCCGCCACCTCTGACCGCTGCGGTCACGTAAAGGCATGAGCCAACTTGGAATTCCAAAGATGAGACAAAAGTCGGAGTTCTTTCGGCCTTGAGGGGCCAACGCTAGTAAGTTGGTGACAAGAACAAAAACTGCAAGCCGTCAAAGTTGGGGGTCTTCGCTCTTAGGTTGGAGGCCGTCGAAAGCAGGTTGGGGGCCAACGCTAGGAGTTTGGTAACAAGAAGCACAAAAGCACAAGAAACACAAGACAGCAAGGTTGGGGGCCAATCTAGTGGGTGGAGGCCAAAGTTCAGGTTAAAGAACCCCTTACAAAGTTGGGAGGCCTACCTGCAAACCTGTAGAGTAGTCTAGAGGAAAACAGAAGGAAAGGCACCGACACACAAGTGTGTCGAGTACCATTTCCTCCTGTTTTCCTAAATAGTGGAACAGGTACGGAAGTTTGCGCCCAAACTTCCATCCAGTCGATTTCCATAGCGTCATTGGCGTGACTAGGAAATCGACCGTCACGCCCCCTGTTCCAAACCAAAAGGTTCCCTTTGATTCCAAGGGTTACACACGCGCACGCCTGGGACATACTGTGCTTGTGAAGCAACATGAAGCACCTTGTATAGATCACCATGAAGCAACAGAAATGGTTCCTATTTGCCTTGAAGGATTGGAAGGATTTGTCACGTCACGGCTGCACGAGAACTGCTGATGACTTCAGTTCTCATGAGAGGCTTCGGTGCTGAGTTGTTGAGCCGAGCGTCCTTCTGTGATTTGCATTCTTTAAATTCAGCTAAAAAGGGCATTGGGTTCAAAAAGAAACAAGTCCATTCACTCGATTCAACCCTGTTCGAAGTGCCTCTTACTGTATATAGAATCAGTTTGCAATCCCAAGAACCAGGTTGGCTAGTGTGAAACATCTCTTTTCCCTCGAAAGTCGCTTAAACCTAACCGACCTAACCTCAAAGCACAAGTTTGCGTTTCTCCCGAATGCGTAGCGAAGGGTTCTCGTTTAACTCTGGCGGTCTGGGGGTAGAGCCTTGTTCGCGACCCGTTGTTTCTATGTTCGCAACCGTCCGCAACCGTCCGCAACCGTCGCAGTAGAGCGCTAAGGCGCTGCCATTGGGGGAAGCTTTTGGAGTAGGTTTCGGATGAAAACGTGACGTGTCAGATTCGTGTGAAATAGCAAGGAATCGTGTGGAAATGTAAGATGTTGAAGTGTGGAGGATGATTTCACTGCGCAGGCGCAGCGTTTTGTGAGATCCGCAGTTTGCTGCGCAGTTCCATTGGGATTAGCGTTTGGAGAGTCGTGTTCTTGGGGTGCTGGATGTGGCCGTGCCATTGGGGTTTGCGTTTCAGGGTGTTGCGTCGAAGCTCTGTTTTCGTGACAGCTCTCAGCTGAAATGGCGATTTTGGTGGATGGGAGTGCGCTCATCATGGGTCGAAATCATTCCAAACGTGTGGTGTGGCGCAAATTTGGATGAAGCTCACATGAGATGATATGGTCACTTTTCGTGGCAGGCGCAGTACTTTCTGCTGGTTTTGAGGCGTGGAAGTGCAATTTTTGTGGCAGGCGTAGGGAATCGTGAGGTTGCGAGGTGTGACGGAGGTGACATTTCGTGGCAGGCGCAGTACTTTGTGCGCGTTAGACGTGGGGACGTGGAAAGATTCGTGGCAGGCGCAGGGAATCGCGAGGCTGTGAGTTGTGGTAGAGGTGAATGTCGCTGTGACATTGGGATTGGCGTGTGAGCGGGTGTTGTTTGGAGGGGCTGGAATCGCGAAACTGCTTGGCAGGGCTGCGTGATGTGTGTGCTCCGATGGGTGTTTCCGCTTGACTTTTGGAGGAAGTCTCGTGCGAAACGCTTGTTTTGCAGACTTTGACATGTGAGTTTTTGAGGATGTCTCGTACGAAACGCTCGTTTTGCAGACTTGACGTGTGACTTTTTGAGGAAGTCTCGTACGAAACGCTCGTTTTGCAGACTTGACGTGTGACTTTTGGAGGAAGTCCCGTACGAAACGCTCGTTTTGCAGACTTGACGTGTGACTTTTTGAGGAAGTCTCGTACGAAACGCTCGTTTTGCGGACTTGACGTGTGACTTTTGGAGGAAGTCCCGTACGAAACTCGTTTTGGAGACTTGACGCGTGACTTTTGGAGGACGTCTCGTACGAAACGCTCGTCTTGCAGACTCGAAGCGCGACTTTTGGAGGAAGTCTCGTACGAAACAGTCGTTTTGGAGTCTAGGGTATGGGCAGACCGTGTGGCGACACGACGTGCGTGATGTCGCAGTGCCATTTGGTGAAAAGTGCGTTTGCGTGGCGGCGTGCCGCTGGGGAGCGCGAAACATGCTGGTGTAAACGCGGCGTGTCGCTGGTG